CATTTGAAGGTTTTCCCTGCATTATACAAATATTCAACTTTACCTTTTGGTCTTTAATAATAATAATAAAAACACACGAATATGTAAAACTACAAGTAAATACGACAGTGCCTGATAAATGAAAGAAAAAGTAAAAGACAATTTCTAGAAAAAAGTAAAGATAACGAATAGTGATCATTGGACTCCTTGGAATTCCATAGATGAGATCAGGTGCCTAGGAGGAGAAAGAATCCCCTGTCGACCGGTCACACCCAGCATGAACCGTATATATTGATCAAGATGTAGTCAAATAGAGTTTAAAATACAATAAACCTTACAATGGGCATGAGGTAAGCCAGTCAAAATTTGACCCAGTAATAAGTTATATTTGCAAACAAACTCTAACAAAAATTTACTATAGTTAATTATAATTTACAATAGGAAAAACTTTGATACTTTCAATAACTATGAAACTTTACTTTGGAGCTTTTTTTTTTTGAGATATCAAAGCTTAAAATCTCTTAAACTATTAAATATAACAGTGATATAAAATTTGGAAAAAAAATACTTGAATATACAAACAATAGTTCCATTTAATATTAAAAAAAAATGTGCATGTATGAACTAAAGAACCAAAAAATATAACAATGTGAAATCCATAGTAAAAATACTTTGATTTACTATAGTAAAAAAAAATAGTAAACTATAGTTAACTATATTTAATTATATACTGTTTTTTTTTTTTTTTGTTAGGGAAGGTCAGTTACCGAGAACTTAAAGGATTATTTGCGAGTGTTTATTTGATTGTTTCTTATCTTAAAAATATATATATATATTTTCATATAAATGTATTCTAAAAAAATTAAATTTAAACTTTCTAATTAAGTAATACGTCTCTATATGAGTGAAAAATTCTCGAAAAAATTAAATTTAAACTTTCTAATTAAGTAATACGTCTCTATATGAGTGAAATATTCTCGAATAGGACGTAAAACAACATACAATCAATCAATCAATCTAATTAAGTAATGCATGATTTGCAAGAGAATCCCAGACTATTTGTTTCATAATAAATAAATGTTAAAGTGAATAAGTAAGAATAAAAATTTCGGAATAAAATAATTTCAAATTTGAATGGCTTCTTATAACATGGAATAATATGTCGTTTTTTTTAATTCCATATAATTTCTATATTTATGTATACACTTTTAAATATAAGTCACAGTCGACGCATGAGAAATTCAAAGGAAATTGCAACAAATAAATGGATTGAAAAAAAGATGCATCAGTAAAAACTAGGAATTAATTCTTGAGTATATGTTCTGAAAAAAAATGTTTTATATGGATAACATTCAGATAACGGAGTATGGATAAAACTGAAAGTCTAGAAAAAAAACGAAAGTAGAAAAATAAATCTTTGAAACAATACAAAGCGACATTTCGACATGAAGCTTCCAATTGATATAGCGCATTTAGTATCTTTAAGCTGAGGCCACGACCGTACTCATCAATTATCGGAGACATTTATGCTTTTGTATATGCACTTTTCCCTACCTGAATAGCAAACCAGGCGAAAATAGGTCAACAGGCCATAGTGCAATTTGAAACCGCAAAAAATTAGTTGAATGGGAAAGAATAATCGGACATCTTAACTCTAGGACAGTTAGGTCAATTCCTCTCTTGGCAGATTTCTCTTAAATAAGATTTTTAATATATGATTTTTTTTTCATTGATAACATTGTGAATTACATGTTCCCTGATAAATTATAAATGAAATACTCTGTTTTTTATATTTATTAGGACAAAATCAAGATCTGAAGGAAAAGTGTGGAAAAATTAATAAGCACTCAGTTTCATATTTTAAATCATACACGGTATACAATAAATTAATTTTTCACGTTCTTAAATCATTTAACTCATAGATATACGTAACTATACTTCTTAAATTCAAAGCATACACTGATGAATACTTGACATGTGTATAAAAGATTAATTAAATAACGAAGAGAAAAAAATTCGAAAATATTCGTTTTAAACTTGACCTTTGTCTGCAGGTGTATTTAATAGACAGACTTTCGTGACCAAAGTTGTTCCGGATTTTTGTGGTTCGCATCATATGTTACTCACCTTTGCCGACAAAACGTTTACCTGACCATGACTAATCGGAGTCAAATATAGTAGAAAATATTCTTTATTGGTAATGTGGCAAATATTTTGCTGATTAAGCATTGTTATTCATTATATTGAAATTCGATGACGATCTTATTCTAGTTGTCCCTCAGATATGAATAAAGTTTAACTTATTATTCATAAATGTATATTAAGGTAGGAGAAAAGCTAATTTTAATTGATTTTTGTAATTATTCTAAAATTAAATATTTCATATCTAACCAGTCCTTCTCAAATTTCTATTTGATTTCAGTATTAATCATGGCTTATTTTGTTGAAGCCTATTTAAAACGAGTCCCTATCAAAGAAAGTTAACATATATTTTATTAATAATAGAAACTTAATAACTGGACTTTCATGAAAACAGATATTAATTAAAGCATTCAATTAATTTTTTTTAATTACATTTTTTGTACTTGTAAAAAGAAATTCAGATAAGCAGAAAAATGTTTATGACTTTATAAAAGATATGGTGTAATTCAAACCTAACATTTAACTTATGTTCTGTCTGAGACCACGTACGTCTATGTAATATAATAATACAGCTAGTGAAGTTTGAAGAATTTTATAATTCATAAAAAAATACATGAACGATGAGATTATACAGAAGGATTCCTTCAAGACATATATCTTGCTCTCATGAATAACTGATAATGAAATATTATGAGTTTTGTGTTGCAGCAGTTATATCTTAAGAAATCTATTAAGAAAAAAAGATAGACACCCAAGGGCCTTAACGGTAACCTTATTATAACACAACCCTTTACATGATTCATGGAAGTCTATAACAGAACAAGAAAGATGAATATACATATATATAATATAATGAATAGGATTCGCAGCTATATTAAGGCTTCCCGAAGCTTTAAATTGCGCTCAAAACATAATATTTCATTGCGAGGTCGGTTTTGGTTTTAACTTAATATAAGTATTGTACTTTAGTACTTTCAATTTGTATAAAGGGCTCCCTCGACTATATATTACCGTTCACGGTAGCTCAGTCGGTAGAGCGCTCGCTCCGTGATCGGGAGGTCGTGAGTTCGAATCTCGGCCGCGACAGACCTAAGTCGATAAAAAATAGGTAGCAACTGTTCCTTCGCCATGCGCTCGGCACTTTGAAGTGAAAGTTGCGGGTCCTTCGGATGAGACCTTAAAAACCGAGGCCCCGTGTCACGGCAGGCGTTGGCACGATAAAGATCCCTCACTGCTCAATGGCCCTGAGTGCCGAGTAAAAATCAAAATTTGAAGCCCTTCACCGGTATATGGTGACGTCTCTATATGAGTGAAAAATTCTCGAATGGGACGTAAAACAACATACAATCAATCAATCAATCGACTATATATTACCATATTTGTTATGATATCACATGACTTTGTTGATCACGTGACGGTCTTTTATAATTTTTTGAAGTGTTTCACATAAATCGATTCGGCGCAGCTGATTAACACAATAATTATTAACATTTTGTTATATAAATAAACTCATCGTATCCTTGTTTATCCGAAATGTGCATGGGAAAAGTCACAGTATTACTTGGGTACAAAATATTTCGTGAGAAATTCAACTTATCTACAAATTTGAGGGTATTTTCCACACAATATCATAATTTGTATTAAAACATCACACATTTTTCCCAAGCAAGATTCAGTTACAGAACAACCTCTTCTTACAGATTTCCACAAAAAATCTCAAATTAATCCTCATTAATCACCTGCGCCAGACTCTTTTATACACACAAAATAATTTGTACCTCCAATCACGAGTATAACACAGAATATGTTTCAAAAGTATATTTTTCGTAAGCATTTTGAACATGCTAAGATTTAATCAAGGGTAAGTAAGCGATGTATTTTTAAAATATTCGGACATGGAAGACTTAAAAAACCTTTAACGACCCGTGAATTTTGCAATAGCTATCTAGCATGTTACATGCAGTTTCAAATAAAGTGTAAAGTTCATGACACTCTCCCCGTCATAACTCCTCAAGTTCACTCGGCACACCTCGGCCGATTCGTACCTCATCAAACCTCGGCTGTATCATGTAAACCTCCATTGAACCGGAGCTACTTTATACACAATATGGCTGCGCCCTACATTTACACGTGCACAGGGTGCTGAATTCGATCCGTTAACAAACGTGTGATTATGTAAAGATACTAAGTGCATTTTTCTTGGTAAGTGTTATTCTTAGTGTAACCTATATGCTTTTGAAAATTTTCTTCGTATATCAGATGCATGTTTATTATCGTTTTCAAAGCGTTACGTTTTCCATAAGCGGTAAACAGGCAGACTTATCACAAATGTTAAGCGGAGACGCATATCAAGTTTCCTCGTAGAGCCGAGGTTTGATGAAGGTGACGGAATCAGCCGAGGTTTGCCGAATGTCCTCAAGTTGGCAGTGACTTGACGTCATTTTCCATTATGACGTCATATTTTGGTAGTTCAGAGAAGTGAAGGCACAGAGTGTACTGTGATATTCTATGAGAAGCCTTAACCTACCTGCGAGGGAGCAACCTGTCTAGTAATCAGCAACAACACATACAATAGTCCAAATTTCTTGTTTGTACTTGATAGTGCTAATACACTCTCATTCGTCGGCATCTCTAGACTAAAAATATGTAACACAGTAGTGCTTTAGTAATGACACACTAGACACATAGTAAACCTGGCACAGTCCCTCTCACATTAGCCTCTCTTGTTTCTAAATAACATTTATCTATACAAACACGGTATTTTTTTTTTATTTGTATCCATCTATTATTCATAAATCTCTCTAACCATTGAAACTATAAATGTACTTTTTGAATTTTTTTATATAGATATTTTATTAAAGACCTAATTTTGTATCCTCATGTTTTGCACTGAAGCAGTATTTTCTTGTTTTCAGAGTTCCTCTACAAATCAGCGGTTTTCACGAAATGTTGCAAGAAGAAGCCGTATTTCAGCCCCATCAAGGCAGGAAACAGGCTTTGCCAACAGTAACAGGAGGCAATTTTCTAGACGAGCTCGTACTTCGCCAACTAGAAGACAACAAAATGGATTCTCTGATGCAATTAGAAGAAGGCAAACTACCTTTTCACAGATCAGAAACAGGCCACCGTCTAATCCTAGAACTTCAAGCATTATAAGAAACAGAAATAGAAATTTTAGATTGAGGCCGAATTGGAACAGGAGCAGATTCTCAAATGTGCGGTTTGGGCGACTTATAAATTCTGGATCTAGAAATATTCCTCAAAGGCATTCATCAATAAGCCATCAACAGAGAATATCGATTCAACCAAGCAACCAGGCAAACAACAGAATGGTGTCTGTACCAAAATCTTTATTGACAGAACTTTTACAAAATGCAAGGCGATTGAATAGGAAATTGAATTCGAATCAAGTGGAAACTATGTCCGGCACAGTAACACAGCCCCCTATCAGATTGACTATATCCCCGAACAATATCGCTAACAGTTTAACTAGTAATATCGGCAATCAACTACAGAATCTCCTTCAATGGAATCAGATTCAAAACGTTTTGGATTCTTCAATTCAACAGAGGATTCCGAGTTTACCTTCAAGTCTATCTTTCCAACCGAACATTGGAGAGTCGTTCGGAAATGATCAGGCATTATTGATACTACCCACTATGACGCCCCAGATAATCATTGCTCCACAACCAAAACCCACTGTTCCAGAATACAAGCCCTCGCAGTTCGACATTGCCTTGCAAGCACATATTTTGGACGAACTTGGATTCGAAAATCTTGTCACTGACACACCGGATGCTGCTGAGGTTCACCAACAACAGCCCCAAAAGAAACCGAAAAAGACAAAAATAGTTATCAACACTAACACTAAGAGTAAACATACAGCACAGAACAATAGCAAAGTGTCGATAAACCAGCAAGGAAATAACAACCCAAGTTTACAACAGATTGCTGCTGTGACGTCAACAACGCTCAAGCCAATCAGAATCGTATTCAGTGGTCAGCAGACATCGCTTATGACTGATGCAGTTACCACCCCTGCACCAGCTGGACAAATTAGTGTCAATAACAATCAAATTAGTGTCAATAACAACCAAAAACTCATCATCACCCCGTCAGGTAATTATACAATTCAACATCTTCCAAATAGCAACAACGGATTTCAAATAGCATGATCACGCTGCTGTTGAATTGCAAATTGAAATAGCCTGCAGAAATTGCTATTTAAAGCAATAACGGATATCAGAGGGTATCTAAAAGCTTAAAATGATACAAATTCTAAAACTACAGATATTTGGAGTGTCTCAAATATGTACATAAACCATGTATACGGTATGAAAAATGAAGGAACTTCATAAAACATTATTCTATGTACATCAAGAGATATGGAATGATAATGAGTAGATGGTAAGATGTGAAGTTACGTTGACGAGAAGTGACCTTACAGAGGAACAAAGAAATGTATAGAAGCCGTGAAATATTTTCTCATAGTGAGAAACATGAGATTTATTCTCTAAAATCAAGAAGATATTGAACAACTTCGAAAGATTTAAAAAAGTGCGTTTATTTGTTTTATCATGATTGTGTGAAAGATATAAATTGAATAGGACTTTAAGACTGTTCAAAAACCAATATACAGGTAGTGACGTGTATATGGCCTGGATTTATTTAGTTTTCTGTTTTATTTTAAATAGTTGTTGCCTGTGTTATTTTTAAAAGGATAATGTATGTGTAGATTTTGTATAAAATTTTTAAAATTCCATGAAGAAATTTGCTCCATAGACAAAAGTATTAGTTTCCCAAAAATACTTCATCAGACTACAATGCATTACCGTTACATAAAGCTTTACTTGAAGCCTTCTACATAAAAGATTATATCTTGAAACGAAAGTTTTAATCGTGTGTTTACCTGTGACTAGAGTGACTATATATGTGAAATATCTTATTTGAGAAAAAAAGAAGTTTGATACATGTAAGCCAAGACATCAAATCTAATTCGTTTTCAGGATTGTTCAAAAGGAAAAAGAGAGGGATTTAGAGACAGAGCACTTTAAACATTTAGGGTAGGATAACCCAGCCCTATGCTTTAACCAGGTCCACTTCAAATGGCCTCTAGATATACCCCCGACCTAACAAAAATATACTATACATGTAGTTAATTAATAGTAAACACTTGAGACTTTGACTTACTATGAAACTACTCTAGATCTTTTTTTTTTTAAGATTTCGAAGCTCAAAATCTCTTAGATATTCAAAGCTAATAATGTAAAATTTAGGAACAAGTAATATTTTCATTTAATGTAAAAATGTGCATGTGTGAATAGGAGAACATAAAATATATCAATCTGAAATCCACAGAAAAATATTTGGATTTACTATAGTAAAAACTTTGATACTGTAGTAAACTATAGTTAACTATAGTATATTTTCTTAGGGGAATCTTATCCTACTATTGACAGAGAGAAATTGTTGAGTTTTTTTTTCTTGAATGAACACGTGAATGAACTGTCGTTTCCTGGTTATAAAAATACATGTGTAAACAAAAAAGTAAAAGTTAAACACTTGTTACATGTATGTATTCTGTTATTGTTTGTTTGCTTATTTTGTTCGTACTTCTTATTCGTTTGTTTTATGGCACAACTACGATTACATCCTTGAAAAATGATATTGTTTTCCAATCATTTAAGCAAAGTTATTCTGTAAAAACTTTATGCCTTCATTTATGTAACAATTAAAATGTTTATGTGAGAGTGAGTTTCTTTGTGAAAAGGTCAGTGAATAAAAATATGAACATTTTATAGTTATTTATGTGGTTTCTATGGTAAATTCGAATAAATAACCAATTCTGTGAATAAAATGAACATTGTTCGGCCACGACCCTCAACGATCTGTCCAGAGTTGATTGTGCATTAAAGATAAATCTTAAAACTGACAAAAACAAGGCAGTATTCAGTATTGAACTCGCAGATTAAGTGTGGGAATAGAGACAAATAAGACAAAGCCTTCTGTTTCCATTTTTTTTTTCGTTACAGTTTCAGTGATCAGTTGAAAGGGGATGAATAATCCTGGCTCCTGACCACACCCTGATGTCCCCAGGGACAGTATATGCCATGATCTGTATAGGATTTATGAGATGAATGACTGATCGCTAACTCCCCCTTCTTTCAACGCTTAGTTAATTAAGGACTTACTCTCGCTTAGATCTATCGCTATGTCATTTAAGTTTTCCCTACTTTGAGATGGAAAAAAGAATAAAAAAAATTAACACTTTGTCATACTGAAAATATTTCTATTTTTACTAGAAACTTTTGATAAATATGTTTATTCATTTTTATCAATCATTCAAAAGAAAAATTGTTTTCTTCCAGGCAGTCTTTTTTTAAAAGACGTACCTATTCTGGAAATTCTTCTTACCTGTGCTTTTGTTTGGAAAAAAATATTTGCTTTTATACAATTTTTCATTTCATTTTATTTCATTTTTTGATTCATGAATAATAGCACTTTATCATATAAAATAAGGGGCTTTAGAAAATTTTCAATTTGAACAAATAAGGTACTTTCTTATACCGATTTGCCTTCATTTTTTATCAATGAATATGTCGTGTTGTAAATTTTTTATTTACCGCGTGGTAAATTCAAAATTTACAACATGACAAATACATCATTGAATTAGAACTCTTGGCAATAATGGTAACTAATAACTTGATAAAGATCTACATTCTATTTTCGTATTGTTGTTCTTTTAAGCCTGTAGATGCAGATGATTAAGTTAAAAAAAAAAAAAAAACAGAACAATAACCACTATCACGGCAAAGCGTTGTCGTTGTTGTTGTTGTTGTTGTTTTTTTTTTTTTTTATAAATGCTTAAATAATGTTTAGAATTCATATCAAATTGTCCAATTTATCCTCACTGCCATCACTTGTTATGGGAAATTTTAAGAAGTTTCATGCATCACTTAAATTAAATGGTACTGGACATTTACAGTAACTTCCATATTTTGGGTTTAATTTATTTTCTTTATCGATCTCAGTCTTTATATGCAAATTGAAGTAGAGAAACTCAATAAAGATAACATATACTTCACACAATTTGATCAGATTCTGAACTTCTTGATTAACTTGATTTATTTAAAAGACATTCTGTATACTATGAAAATCTGAATACTGTATATTTCAATTTAATGTTTGATTTTATGATAAATATATAATTATCCACAGTGTTAAGACTATCTAACAAAAAATAAAAATACTGACTTTCAATGTCCCCTGCTTCTGTTTTTGTTTTATTTGGTAAAAAATCTCAGAAATCGCTGAGATTATATCCCAAGAAGCAGTACCTCCATTTATGAAAAAAAAAAAAAAAAATTTTCATCAACAGAAAATGGCTAAGGATTGAAAATCGGATTTTTTTTAAATCATAAAATTCTATTTCAAAACATTCTTAATATTCATTTATTTTTTTTAAAAAATCTGCTAATATGTAATTCATTTGGTATCCCTTTTATTCTTCTTTTTTAAGATTCATTTATTTATTTAATATGAATATGAATATTCAGCTGTATCTTTTAACGATAAATTTAACAGGAAAACGTTTGAAAGCTCAATAAATAGCCTAACGTTAATTATGTTTGACCTAAATATTTATACACAGAGTAAGTTATAATGAACAAATGGAAAACAAAAACATAAACAAAAAAACAAAAAAAAACAAAAAAAAAACAAAAAAACAAAAAAAAAGAAAGAAAGAAAGAAAATACTACACAACTCAGAAACATATCGGGCAACGTTTTGAATTCAGGAAAAACAACGAAAACAAAATTTTTTTTTCCTCTTTCATGCATCATCACAAAAAGTAGATCCTGCATTTTTTTTTTTTTTTTTTTTTTTTGATGAAGGTAGCAACAAGATTTTCCAAACAATCATATACACCGTTTTCTTATAAACCTGAAGAATATGAAATGGTTTTAATAATTTTTTTCAATAATACAAAACGTACATATGTAAATATTGGAAAAGCAATTGCAAGCTAAATAATAAAAGAAGTTTCATTGTCAAAGAGGGATAACTCTATCTTTAAAAAGTACTATATATAATACTGGACAATACATTTTTTGTGTCGCCTGCAGAGCAGAGCGGCACTAAGGGGTCACTTTATCCGGCATCTCTCTGTTTGTTCGACTGTCTGTCTGACTCGCAGTACAGTTAAGGTGCCAAATGGAAATACCGGCGAATTTCTTAGATAGAAAATACATTCTTTACAAGGATGGGCGTTTCTTTTTAGGACTTTACTATTATCGGACAAATGCAATGTGGTTGAAAACTACATGTTGAGGACGATTAGATTTCTTAGTTAGACTTGTCACGTGATGTGGCAGTCACGTGATTTAACCAAATATACCTGAAGTATTGAGGTCATCTATAAATTCTAATATTGCAAGGGCATAACCAAGTTAAAAATCTAAGTTTAACATATAATAATTTTCAACACTCTTTGTAGTTTGTGAAAAGTGCTGCGAACCTATATAGATTCTACTATCTAATTGCTAAAATTACACTTGTTAGACCGTATGTTGAATATTTTGCTGGTCAAGTACATTAAATATAGATATAATTTATTCATTTGCAAGATTTCAACAGGTTCGCAGCACTTTTCAAATATCTTCATATTTCTTGAGTTTATATGTAAAAGCTTGTCATAATTCATTGAGGGTATGCCCTTGCAATATATCGATTTATTAGGACCCTTCTATTAGCTTTCAATGAATCTGCATACAAATATACGGCAGTATCACTTGTCTAGGGAATGTACGGGAAGTATATGAATAAAATCATAAAATAGACATCGCATCCAAGTTAATGGCCTCTTATATATCTACAATTATATTTTATTTAATTACAAAATACATTTTTCATTGTATAAATAAAACTTGATCCGCCTCTCACTGCATACATACTGCGTCAAATTTTACGATATGACGTCACATTGACAAGTGCATTGCGATCAGTGAATTGTTTATATATTGCGGTGTAGGATTTAACCAACGACAATAATGCATGCACTAGTTAGTATTGATGTAGTTTAAAGGTATTCAACAGTTTGAAATAGCAAATCATTTCATTTTGTGGCAATTTGAAGAACTTATATTTTTGTGTGATGTCATAGTAAGCATTTCCC